CTTTTTCACTAATTGCACAACGGTGAGAGGGTCGTGAGGTGGAATCCACGTTCGGAAGCCAGTTGCGATTCCAGAAACACCGTTGACTAGAGCCAAAGGAATAATAGGAAGCAAGAATTCAGGCTCTACTTGTTCGCCATCTTCCATTTTGGCAGGTAGTTGGAAGTCATCTTGTTGCGGAAAAATATAAGGAACAATTTTGGCTAGCTTAACATAAACATAACGTTCAGACGCAGCATCTGCCCCTCCATAATATCGAGAACCAGTTTGGCCATGGGACTCAAAAAAAGAAAGATTGTTAGCCCCAACAAAGTCTTGAGCGAGACGAATAATAACGTCGCTTAAGCACCCTTCGCCGTGTTTGTAGTTGGTTATTTTGGCTGCATGAGCTGCGAGTTGGGCTACTTTTACAGCTCCTTTGGAAGCAAATTGAAAGCTGCTCCAAAGCGCCTTTCTTTGCGATTCTTTCAGACCGTCAAAGAAAGACGGTATGCTTCGGGAAATAGTTTCTTTAGAATATTCCACTAGTTCTTGTTGAATGAACCGACAAATGACTGAGTCTGAACGGGTTTCCGAAAGAGGATTGAGAATCCATTCCTTCCTTACTGCTACTTGTGTTTTGCGAAAGGCTTCTTCAATAGTCTTTATGTCTTGCTCTCCGTTGATAGTGAAATATTCGAATCTGTCCTCTGCAAAGTCTTCGCGTATGTCCTGGTCAGAAGAAGAACCTAGACCTTTAAGATAGCGAATTTTCCAGGAGCGGTCTTGAGCATCTGGCCATAAACGAAATTCTTCTTCACTGTAGAAATTTTTCTTGGTCTGGCCCCGCGTTGCTTTGATGATAGGAGTTCTTAAGAAACCTAGAAAAGGCGGATGTTGTTTCAATAAATGAGGATATTTCGTAGCGAACCAATTGAGAATGAGAGCTAGAATATGCTTTCCATCCAAATCCGAATCCGCGAGCACGACTACTCTTCCGTAGCGCAATGGTCCTTGAGGAAGACCGAGGGCTTTTTCTACCAAACCAATTTCCCTGCTAGTAGACTTATCGTCCGCGACATTGAGAACTTTTCCTCTCAAGGGGAACACTCCGTACATATCTCTACTAGCGTGGAAGGAAATGGCTTTTACAGCATAGGACATAGCTGACTTTCCTTCAGTGAGTAGCAAAGTGCATTTTTCGGGTTGTTTTCCTGCCCAGTTAGCGTCGTCCAAGTCTTTAATTTGGAGTTTATGTCCCGCTGCTGCAGTCTTAGGCACCTTTGACTGCTCTAGAAACGATTTCACTTCAAGGAAGTAAGGCCAGTTTTTCAGTTCCTTTGTCTTGAGCGAAAGAGGAATGTCAGCAGGACCAACAAGACGATCTTTGGTTTGTGCATTGAACTTGGGATTTTTGACTCGAATAGAGAGGAATATTCCGAACTTGGCTTTGATAGCAGTGGCAAATATTTTTTTGGTTGTAATTCCAAGGGAGGTCTTAAGTTCTTTGAGAAGAGCGTCAACATGAGTTCCATCGTCTATTGTTCTTATTCCATTCACGAAAGAAACGCAGAGTCCTTGTTGGTCAGTCAAAAGTGTCTCATTATTTCCTGAACTAAAGACTGCGGTAATAGGATAGTCTACGAATTTTTCTGCATAGGAGTGCAGCGTGACTCTAGAAAATTCGAAATTGTTGAATAGACAGGTACATCCGGTGACCAAGCTTGCCTCGAGAACGTGTCTTCGAAAAACACCAAGATCTTCCTCAGAAAAGCATTCTTTCTTGAATCTGCTGAATTCTGGATAGAAACGAACTATAACACTAGGTCCTTCTTTTTTTGAGACCTTGGACCAAGTGATAGGGTTTTTGACTGCCATATTGTTCTCCCATGATTGCTCATAACAACTGCCTTTGCTATCTATGATTCGAACTGAAAGTTTGGTGCTGAAAATATTGCAGAGCTTTATACCGAACCCATTCCTTCCAGAATAGTATCTTTCTTCAGTATAGTTGGAACTCGTCAGCAGTTCTCCAAAAATGAGCTCAGGTACATAGAGAGAGTCGTCCCATTTTGTTAAAGGAATGCCTTTGCCTCCACGGTTCTCGATTTCAATGAAAAAGGGGTCGCATTGAACGATGACGATTCCTTGTCTATTAGCTGCTCTATTCAGATCATCTACTGCATTAGACAAAGCTTCTATGAAAAGTCGTTCGAGGCCACTAGGCAGTGTTATAGTTTGAGAAGAAATCTTTCCATCTACAGACATCAGCCATTCTTTACGAGGATAAGGTTCTATGCTTCCAACATATGTATCGGGGATTTCGAGGACATGTGTTCTATGGTCGAGGCGCCTGTATTCTAAATCCATTTTACGTACCCAATCACGTCCTTTCAAGATTTGAATCTTAGAAGAAGGTTTAAATGCAAAGGTAGACGCGAAGGGAAATGCTGTCAAATTAGCGGTTGTCGAGAAAAATGACTATGACGGTAGATGAGGTCGATTTCAGTCAAATATCGTTTGGAGAGGAAAACAAGCTGAACACTTACGGTACTATAGTTCCTGTGAAGTACGCCGGAAAAAGCTTCAGTGTGTGCTTGGGAGACGCAGACGTCAAAGTGATGAGAAACAAATTTAACGAAGCTAAAATTAATCTTATTGTGAACAATTTAAGCAGTGGCTCTTGTGATTTTCTAGAAAAGTTAGATTCGTTCATGGAGAAGAGCGAAGTAGTTGTGAGTCACAAACGCTGCGTATATTCCGTGTGCAAGAGAGACGATGCTCCGTTGTTCGCGGAGATTACGTCCATGACGAATATTTGCAACGTGGCTGATGATAAACGTCTAAGCTTGGAAGCTTTGAACAGCTACGGAGGATGGTTATCAGCAATCCCTGTGGTCAATTTTTCCTGTCTGATGGTGATTGGGAACAAAATTAGCTTAAAAAAGAGAGTATCTGCTCTCTTAATAACAAAACTTGTTAAGAACGAATACTCTGATTCTTTTGTTGAGTCTTTGAAATCGAAGTATCAGGAAGAGAATCCAGAGGGAATTGAAGAGTTAAAAGACCAAATTAACAAGCAATTTGTGGACACTTTGGATTTTGATGAGCAATAAACTACTGTTGTGTCCTAACGA